ACCTTTGTCACGAGTGTGGCGTCACAAGTTAGTTTTCTTCCTCTGGAGTAATGAGTGTTGCTACATTTTTTTGCCACCTGTCGATTGTTTATCATCGAAATACAGGAGTCGTACTTATACAGTTTTGTACACTTTGGACAAACCACAAACTTATTGAAATCGTCTCTATCAACATTTAGGAATTGCCTCACAAGGTACAAGGATCCCGGAAAGCTCATCGCTAATTTTTCAAAAACCTCATTGGAAATTTCTACGCCAAGAACCCTGAGCCACGAGACAAGGAAATTGAGCAACCAAGCGAGACCATTATCGCTGAGGTGGCAAGTCGCCTGCCAGATTAGCAGAAAGTAAACGAACCAGAAAATCAATGAATTTACTTTTTGAAGTGCTGTTTGGTGGCCTTGAGCTTCCGGAAGGGGAGGGGCGTTTTCTATATCTCTCGATATCATCTCAGGCAGCACACCATTCCAGATTTCTTCGTCACAGTCAGAGCTCGAACTGCAACAGTCGCTCTGGTTTTCATCATCGGTACTGTTTAGATCCCCATATTCGTTGTCGCTGGTAGAGTATGCTGCCTCGGATTTCGGCAAGTCCATTGGCTATATAGAAGACAGGAATTTAAGAACGGGCAATCTATGTTTCACCTCTCATAAAGTACTCTTAAGAGTTATGTTAATGAAAAAAACAAACAAACGAATGAACGGCAGCATTAAACAACAACCAAAGATCATTAGTAGATAACATAGCTTTCGCAAAAGTGTCCTGTTTGTTGACTACAAACTTTTACAATTTGCATGATAAAAGTTAATGCACAAACTCCGCGTTCTTCCTTTCTCACCTGCTCAGCTTTTGACCAAGAATTATCAACTTCTGCTTCGATTTCAAGACGCTCTTCCTGAACAAAATCTGTGGGTCCTGTAAGGATTTGGTGTAAAAGATAAAATTAGTTGGCAGTGGTCTATCGCCTCAAGCAACGTTGAATAGCAGTTACGTTCTCTGTATTTAAGGTAACTAACCTTCATCGTCAGATGAACTTGAAATTTCTTGAAACAAATCACGGAAATTTGAAGTCGACCCGAAAGTATCTGTCAAATTCGACTTGTTACGTTTTCGCTCATGCCTTTCGAAAGTTGAACGTGACACGAAGTCATTACAATGAGTGCAGTAAACATATCCTTTCTTGTCATCGCACTCCATGCGTTCTATAAAGGAGATGCGAAAATGAAAACCCGTTGCTTCCAATTCAGATGTTTTGACAAAATTTGCTGCTGCACATGGAATTGCTATTCCTGTCCGACGCAAGTGCCGGCTAATTTGTGATGCATTTCCTATTGACAGTTCAGATTACAATTAGACTATCTTTAGTGCGTCAATTAAAGATGTCAAAACAGCGAGACTCGTTTAATTCTCACCTCAAAGGTTAATTAAATGTATATTACCGTAATTTCCGGTCGTTTACCCGCACGGCCGATTACCCGCACCGGCCGATTATTGCATACGGCGAAAAAAAAGTCAACAGATTACCCGCACTGGTGGATAACCCGCACGTTGTTATTCAACTTTTTGGTGGCGAAAACGTGACATTAAGGTGATACATTTCAGTCTTTTAAAAGTTGTCTGATCCAACTTTCGAAAACTTGAAAGCGTCTTTGTCGAGTTTAAAGGTCAAAGAAATTCAGACGCGTGCACAATTCTGTGTCAATATTAGCATGTACTTTATTGATAAGATTATGCAGTAAAAACACTAGCGGCCCATGCCCAAATCTCAACGTTTCATACTTGACAGAATGCGAATTTGTGGCCACATTTTGTGCGAGCGATCGTTCAGCGCCATGTTGATTTGTTGAAAAAAAACTGGGTGAGTATTAAAACTTGAATTTAAAAAAAATCGATATCTCCGGTTCTATTGGGCCTAACAATTCCCTTAAACGGGAAAATTCTCTTTAGCTCAAGCTAGCGTTAAAAGGAAATTTGTTACTGATGCGCCGGATATCTATGGATAATTTTTGTCAACATCAAGGTTTTGTTTTCACGCGTGCCGATAATAATTTGTTGGTCGCGCAACTAATTATGCGTGAAATAAACTCGAGTCGGCATCGTGTTTTCGTGCCGCTTTGCGGCACTATTAACACAATAAAATTTACTTGAGAGGTGGAAACGCATGTTGGTGATATTTTTTTTCAATTCAACTACCACTGGATTTTAAAATTGTCACATAACCCGCACCTCCCTATTACCCGCAGTGGCGCGCGTTTAATGCAAAATCAACAGATTACCCGCGGGTAAACGACCAGAAATTACGGTAATTAAAAACCTTCTTTTGTGCCAAAAAAGAGACCACTTAAAGGATGCTAAAAGATTTACGTTATTAAAGTTCACCTAATGTTCAATTAAAGATTCATGAAAGGTAGCTGTTAGCTTTTGGATATTTCGGTTTACAATTAAAGACGCCTAAAGCTTATGTCAACCTTTAGGGACGCTTTCGGTTTTGCCTAAAGGCACTGAAATAAGAGCATTCGTCCTGTGAATATTACTGTAGCTGCATGCTCGACATAATCTTTTTGTTTGATTGACAGATTGTTTTTGTTTGGGGTAAATCGTTAATCTGCAAGGTTGCCAAAGACTTAGGGCTTTCTTCTGTTCTCAGTCTACTCATTTCATTTTTAACTTTGTCACTGACCTTTATTATTTTTTCATTCAAATTGAGAACATGTAGAGAAGAACTGTTTCTTACTCTGCTCAAGCCAACAAAATGCATATGCTCCCTTGTGGATGTTGGAAAATCGACAACTGCTTCGTTTAGTGTGTCACCTTGACAACTATGAATAGTTTTGGCAGCAGCAGGTCTAAGTGGAAATTGATGTCGAAGAATTTGTACTTTACTTTTTTATTGATCTGGAATCGTTTTGTTACTTCTAAAACTGGTGTCCAGTTTTTATTTATGTGTGTGTTATACAAATAAGCATAGCCCCTGCACTGTTTTCTGCCTATTTCAAGATGTGGAAAGGCTATGTTTTCTATGACAGACCCTACACCATTTGTTAGTCCATCAGTCACATCAACATTACTTAGGGTGCGTTTCTTTAAAAAAATCCAAGATTGGATTCTTAATCCGAGATCATGCGGATTCGTTATTTTTAAAGACACGAAAAATCCGAAAATGGATTTTTTTTTCAATTAGCCGTAACGACCCCAGCATGCAGTTCGCGTGTTTTGGGGGGAGTTTTCAAAATGGCGGAAAGTTTTGGTTTGATGTTTGAACTGTTCGAAGAAGTCCTTGCCGATGACCTTGAACAACAACAGGTTCTTTTAGGAGCCGATGACGAAGCAGTTTTATTCCTTTTGGCGGCCGGACAGCTCGTCCGAAAAGAACATGTTCGCACAAAGAATTTTTACAAAATAACCGTACCTAGTTACATACCGGAGGACTTCCGAAGTCACTTCCGCATGTCACGGCATACAGTTACAGTTCTCGAACATTTGCTTTCGGTCCACGGCGACTTACCTCAATACACCGGCGATAGAGGAAGACCACCGGTCGAGTTAAGAAAGCAAATCCTTATTACGCTGTGGATTCTTGGGAATCCAGAATGTTTACGCTCTGTTGCCGATCGATTTGATGTTTGCAGGGCAACTGCGTACAGAGTCTACAGACGAGTTTGCAAAGCAATAGTGAGGAACTTAATGGATGAGTTTATCAAGTTTCCAACTGGTCTAAAAGCCCAAGCGGTGATGGAGGCCTTTGAAGAGAAAAAGGGTTTTCCGGGTGTTTTGGGGGCTATTGATGGCACCCACATACCAATTAAAGCACCACATAACAATCATGAACAATACATAAATCGCAAAGGTTTCTTTTCCGTCCAACTACAAGTCATTTGTGACCCGGATTTATTCATAACCGATGTTTTCTGTGGTTACCCTGGTTCAGTACACGATGCTCGCGTGTTTCGTAATTCTCCGATCTGCCGAGAAGTTGAAGTGAACCCAGACAATTATTTTCCTGGCAACTCCCACATTTTGGGAGACGCAGCATATCCCTTGAAGAGGTGGCTGTTGACCCCATTTCGAGACAACGGACGTTTGACTGCTCAACAAAGACGTTACAATACTGCCCACAGTTCCACCAGAATGGTGGTTGAGAGGTCCATAGGGCTTTTTAAGAACAGGTTTAGGAAGCTAAAAACAATGATGGATGTTGACAAAATTGAGGACATACCGGAAATTATTGTATCCTCTTGCATCTTACACAACATTTGCATTATTGAAGATGACATCGATGATTTTTTAGATGACTCTAATGATGATGATGACAATGATGACAATGATGATGACATCTTTCCACCAGGTGTAGGAGCAGTTGATAAGAGAAACATGATAATGAGACTGATCCCATAAACCTAGCATTTATAAGTGGTTTATGTATTGATACCTTTTGTACTGTGGTGTTTTCATGAACACTTCTTTCATAGGTGGTGTATGTCATTCATAAAGTTTATACTGTATAATAGTCTTTTTGCTATAAATATCGATATTTTATTTGTTTTTAAAAGTATATAAGAAAATAGTAGAGCCATGTACATGGATCACTTTATACTACCTGAAACGTTTATGGTGTTGCTTGAAATGTAAACTTTCAACACAAATGTAACAGCCTAATACTCTGACAGTCCAGGTTGCTTGTGTCACGCACAGAAAGGAGGAAGTGCGTGACACAAGTGATCTGAAGCATCTGAGAATCAGGCTAAAAAAAGTAAAGGATATAAATAATATCAAAACCAGTTTAGTTAGGCCCTCTCACCTAATGTTGCTATTGTAATTCCTTGTATGTATGTGATAAAAAAAAACATACAACTTGCAATAATACTGTTAACATGTATGATATAATAAACTTTTAGATAACTCAATAGTGACAACAAACTCAGGTTTACTGTATCTATGTTCATGTTTGTGGTCAAATAATCCCATGTTCTGCAACACAATAAAAAATTATGGAATCAAGGTTACTCTTTGTTCAATGATTTTTCAAAAACATTCAAAAATCGGCCGATGAGTGCCATGCGTTCATTGTGCATATTTTCAAACTTTTTAATCTTTTCCTTTTCTTCCTCTTTCCTGTCTTGTGTAAATTCCTTAAAGAGCCCAACGAGGTCTTCTCTTTTCTTCCGCTCTGGTAACTTCTTTTTCTTTGCTTTTGTAACCACAGGCTCCTCTGTGTCACTACCTGTGGAACTCAATGTGGAACTGGAATTTTTAACACTCTTGACTGCATCTTTGCTCCGTTTACCATCAATGTTGCTGCACAATGTTTTTGGAGCGATGGCATCATCTTTCGAAAATATTTCGTGAAGTTCGTCATAGAAGTTGCATTTCTTTCGGTCATTTCCGCTGACTTTGTTGTGATCAACACAAGCAACATAACTTCTCTTCAGATTTTTCAATTTCGTCTCACACGCCTTGGCATTAAAGAACACTCCGTTCTTCTTTAATTCTTTGCTGATTTCTTCCCACAGGGACTTGTTCTTTTTGTTTATATCTTTAAATCGTTCTCTGCGTTCGACATAGCAGGAAATTAACAACAGCACATCAGCTCTAGACCAGCGTACAAGAGCTCTCGATTCGCCTTCGGTGCCTTCACGCGACTGACTGAACGTGGCTGCAGCTGTTTCCAAAGAAGAAAAACTTGGACCAGGCTGAGGTGATACTGATCTGACTGTTTCATGGCTGAACTGTGATGCCTGCGGTGGTGGAAACATGAACTGAGGAAGATAAGGATGAATGCCCGGTTGAACGTGGCTTTCGTTCCACTGATATTCTGGATATTCACCTGCAGATAAACTGTGCGTCCAATATTGTCCTGTAGATAGAAATAAAAGATGCCAAGACGCATCAAACATCCGGAAAATTTATAAAAATACGTACAGGACGGAAAATTTCGGTGAAACTACACAAAAAACTCACCTTGTTTATTCGCCATGGCCGGCAGCAGCTAATATTTACAACAAAATGGCGGGAATGTGGCGGATTTTAAGAAGACGACCGCTTGCCAAACGTACTGCTTTTTGTATCCGTGCAATAAAGAAACGCACGGATCATGAATCCTAAAAATCCGGATTTAGATTTGATCTAATGAATCCACTCGGAGTGTGGATTCTATAGATTCAAAATCCATTTTCGGATTTTATTAAAGAAACGCAAAATCCGTTTTTGGATTCAAGAATCCGGATTTGGATTTTTTTAAAGAAACGCACCCTTATTAAGTCATATTTTGCCTCAGTTGCCACTGATACTTGTGAATAGAAGTCCATTGTCTTTGTTGGATGATCTGGGATTTTATCTTTTATTTGTCTCTTGTGATCATCAGAAGTATCCCCAATTATAATGTCCACAGCCTTAATCTGAGCGTTATCAGTTTTAGAGAGAGTATATAGGACATTTTTATGAGCATCTACCGATGCATTTGTAGGAAATAAATGTGTTATGTTCATTGGGTAATTTTCATTTTCTGGTGTTACATTCAAAAGTCTTTGTTTCAAAATAGCTATATCGTCTTTGGTGTTTTCCCTCTCTCAAATGGTTAAGTAGCTCTGCAAATTGTTTGTCATCTTTTTGTCTCATTACTTCTGTCAATTCGAAGAGGGTGAGGTATTCTCTCAAAATGTTAGTTGCTGAATTCAAAAGGATGAACATACCACTTCCAACAAGATGTTTCATCAATAAATGTAAGCTTTAGTTTCTTCAGTTGCGTCTGTATAGTATTTCGTCAGTCACTGTTCATTGCACAATACTCAAAACCTCTATTAGCAGGTATCTTAAAAGCAGAATGCAATGTTTTACCTTCTATGTTGAATGCTGCTTTACCAGTATGGGCTGTTTCCACAACTTTCACATCATCTGAGAGGTTCATCTTTAGTTTTGACTAAATTTAATACATGATAAAAAAAATATATTTTCGTTTTTCTTTCAAAGAACGGACAAGTGCATAATAATCATTATCAGACATGCACTTTATAAGAAGTTCTTTGTCATCATTATTTCTAAGGAAAATACATATACCATCAGGCAAATCATACTGATTATGCTGCTTTTTTTCCAGGGTCAAAGCAACCAAATAATTCACTATGCTTCTCCTTGATAGCACAGTCCTGCTTATTGATATGTTCTGCATTTGGAGCAACATTGTTAAAGTTGTCAAATTCAGTATTATTCATATCGTTTATTGCTTTATCTAGTATTTCTGAATGGTACTCATATTGGCACGTATTGTAGACAACTTCATCCTTAACTTGTTCAAACCGTTCTTGGTAAGTTTGACAGTCTTTTATCAAATCAGTGCTTTCCTTTCATCATGGTGTATAAAGCATTAGCTACTCCCTAAAATGGTTTTCTGGTTCCTTATCTTTATGGTGCCCGACGGAGCCGATTATTTTGGGCTTTTTTCTTTTTACTAGTTTCATACCTCCTATTAATTTGTACTCATTTGGTCTACATTCACGTTCAATGACATTAATACTATAAGGGTTGTCATCAGATTTGTTGTCAAAACTAGTTTCTGGTAGAAAATCATCAATGCCCATTCACGATGACTCATTATGATCACTAGTACCGCTGCTATCCATTTGGTCATCTTTAACATAGTTGAACCATGCAACAAAGTTGGCCAAGCGTAACTTTTCTAATTGTTTTGGTCTCCTTTGATAACTTTAATGACGTTGTCAGATTCTATGTCAGTTGAGTTGTCAGGCAACTGTCTGCGCTTATCTAATTTCTTTAACAAGAATGCCCTTTCATCTCCAGGTGAGGTGCATGTAAATTGATTAATACACTATGATATGAGATACAATGCTTCTTAAGCGCTAATTTTACCTGCATTTAGCAAGTTTTTTCCAATGTGCCTTTTTCTATTTGTGATGTCTTTATCGCCAGAATTAGCTTCTTCAGATGCTCTTTCTACAAGTCTGCTCATACCTCTTTGCCTTCTTGTAATAAAAGACAGTATGTACGCAGCACTTGCACAAGGATCTGGTACATATTGTATGTCCATGTTTGCTTGCCAGGCTCTAAGTAAATTAGTCTTGTAACTATTGATCCTTAGTTCTGATGGTGCCCTTTTCAAAATAATGTGTCAGGCTTTAATTTGTATCTTATAGCCAGGATGTAACTTTCCTCAATCAATTCTAATTTACTGAGGAAATCTTCAAAACTGATTTCTTCATTGTGTTTCATGTTTTCAAAAACTTATTTTGTTCAGCATTTTCTTTGGTCAGTTTCTTGTTCTCTTCATCAAAGCAGGAGATGTCGAGAGGTGTTATAATCATTGTTTTTGGCACTGGTGGCAATGGGAAGTTGAATCTACATATCTTATGCCCTGCCTTCTTACGTCTCAGCATGCCTGTGCATTTGTAAGTTCACAAACTCTTCCATTTCACTTCAACTGTCTGATTTGTGGCAAGTGATATACTTATCAACAAAGGTGACAATTTCTTCATTAGAACTTTTTTTAAACTTTGGGGCTTCCTTTCCCCAAAGTAAATCATGGATATGTGGGTTTCCTCTTCGTTGAAATTCCACTGTGTAAAAATAATCAGCTATTTCTCCTATTGGCATTACACTGCACTTTGAGACATCACGAATAAATAACTGAACCATGTGCTCAAAGTTTCTTGCACAAGTGACTGGATCTTTTTGTATCAAATCTGATTTTTTGTTCCCATGTCATTTGTTTGATCTCCTCATCAATATCCTTTTTTCTCTCTACAATTCTACCTAACATTTTAAGAAGATGAGTCCTCCTTGTTTCATCAGCTGAGAAAGAACAAAACCAGGAAGGTTTGCCCGCAAAAGAGCGAGAGCAAGAGCAAACAAGTCTCTTTTGCATTTTTCAGAGTGAGGTGGTGAGCCTCTAATGTTTCTTAAAACTCTGAATCCTTCATCAGGGCACACAAGCTTATTAAGATAATCCTCTGATTTCAAGTCAACAGCAGTGTACTTCTTCCCCTATCTCTGACACTTTCTGAGAGAAATGCAAGCACTATCTTGAATTTGCTTGATTTGCGGTTTTCTAAGCTTACCGAATATATTTGGCACAGACTTTGCAACTCTTCTATCCGGACATCTTAACTCCTACTTAGCAACTGTACTATTGGGACCTTTCTTTTGCTGTTGTCAGGTCTTTGTTTTCCACAGAATATTGTAGCTAATGAATAATATTCAGAATCTTTATCCATGAATATTCCTAATGGTTTGTTTCCTTCTCCAATCAATCAATCAATCCTTTATTTAAACACGTGACACCTAGGAGTACAGAAGTTCTCGTTAAAACGTGTACGTGTATGTACAATTAGAAATAAAGCATAATTTCTGTAAGAATACAAATAGTAAGTAAATCTATTAAAAAGCTAAAAACAGGATCGAGAATCATGGACAAGAGCTATCAATTAGAAGTTACAATATTAACAATATTAACAACAATAACGATATTTACAATCACTACCATTAAGCCATGTGGGCTTTAAGAGAACGCTTAAATGAAGCAATATCTTGAGATTCTCTGAGTCTAGGGGGTAGCGCATTCCAAAGTTTACTAGCTAAAAATGAAAAAGACCGATGTAAAAACTCAAGATTAAAAGGAGGTAAATCTAGCCTTGTACTGAGCCCGCGTAAACTATACGGTACATTTCTAAAATCAAAAAAATCACTTATATAAGGAGCCCCCTTATCATACAAGCACTTATATAACATAACCAACGATTGGAATTGCCTACGATTCTCCAAAGACTTAATGTCGGCCAACTTGAGGAGGAAGTCGTATGACACAGACTTCGAGAAGCCTAATATAGTTCTTAATATAAAGTAATTAGTTGTCTCTATTTTTGTAGTCTCCGCGTTACCTACTCCCAGTAAAAGGGGACTGCAGTACTCCAGGTGCAAAAGAAATAGTTCTATCTTCATCTTCTGTTACATCTGGTTCCTGCAGTAGCAAGTAAGTAAGAACTCTATTTAAAGAGGGTGGCACATAACAGTATAACTGATAAACTAGTGGCCCTCTATCTAAAATTAATATTAAATTATTAAGATACATCCAGGATATTAAAAAATGAGAATATCATTAAAATTTAAAAATTTAAAAATTTTTAAAAACTTTAGAATTTAAAAATATGCAAAATATTCCAAACATTTTAAAAATGAGGAGAGATATGTACACAAGGAGGGGAACTGGGATTTAAGGGGCAATAAGACACTAATTAATCGAATAAAGCTAAGTATTGACAGAAGATTTGAGAGCACAAATTGATTCTTTCTTGCAAATGTCTAAAGGAATGCTGTTCCAAAGTTTTGCTCCACTGACTTGAAAGGATCTACTCCCTTCTGTTTCTCTATTGTACAAGGAAGGACAACCAAGTTGTATCTTCCATGACTTGTTCTATTATGACAGTCCAAGTTCTTAGTTATCAGTTTCATTATATAACTTAGAACTCGGACCATCATAATAAAACAAGTTGTTATGGTAGTGGTATATCTGTTACTCCTGAAGGGCATTTATCAATTTCACACCAACCGTCACTTTCATATTTTACATTGTCCTGATTATCAACATCAGCAGTGGCAATATTATTTTGGCAATTTGTGACAAGTTTATTGCTTTGCACACCAGCACTTGATGTGTCAAAGTTTTGAACAAATTCAGTTCAATCTTCATGGTCAAGCAATTGTGAACTGATGTTATCTACGCATGAATTTTGCATTTCTATGCCTTCGCTTTTGAACAAATTGCTTATGTCTACAAGATATTTGGCTGCATTTAATACTTTTTTAGGTCTAACATTTAGAAACTGATAGTGGTACTTGAAACTGAGGTGCCTTCTAAGTTTTATGGGAATGGTTTGTGATTTGCTTATTGGCCTTGGGAGACAATGAAATTGAATTTACATCACTTGATATAATTATTGACAATGTTTTCATGAATAGACAATTGACCACCTCTGGGTAGTTCCAAGGATTTGCATGAAGGGTATACGAGGTGATCAGGCTTGTAAGGAAAACCACTGTTATTGGCTGTAGAACAGCTGGGAAACTTGCCTTTCTTCAGGTTTGAATCAGAGCCAAAGTTATACCAAAGTTGGTCACAACAACTGCATGCATATTCTGGGCCACTTGCAATGTTTTTGTGAAAAAATTTATCATAGAATTGCATTACATTTGTTTGTTTGTGGTTTCAGCACATCACTGCTGCATGTTAGTTGTGATACACTAGGCAGATCATGAAATGGTGTTTCAGTAACTGTTTATGCTTTTTTTTAAATTTTGATTTAATTCTTTGATGTGTTGAGGGTTATTCAGTTTTTGTTTCCTTGCGGCCTGTTTGTTAATTTCCCTTATGTGCTCTGCACTCTCTGTTTTTCATCTTGTTGCTGTCTGTTTATTGATTTCCTTAATGTACTGCAGGTGCTCTGCTTTTCGTTTTCTCACTGTTTGTTTGCGTTCTCTCTTTTTCCTTATCTCAGACTGTTTGTTAATTTCCCTTATGTGCTCTGGGTTCTTTGCTTTTTGTTTTATTATGGTCTGTTTGTTAATTCCCCTTATGTGCTCTAAGGTCTTTGCTTTTCATTTTCTAAAGGAGCATTCCTCAATTTTTCTTACATGTTCTGGATCCAGTTTTATTTTTCTGGCAGCCTGGTTTTTCTTGTCCCTAGTTGTTTTGCTATTAATACAGCTGCTTTGCGGCAAGTTACCATTCTCACTTTTTCTAAACTTCTCATCAGCTTCTATTTGTATCCCCTTGTGTAGTCTTTTTTGTAAGCTTTACACTTCTTCCTGTTATCAACTGGACTGTTTTCATCTGCATTTTGTGCACATTTGCTGTTGTTTGTAAACCTCAAAGTTCTACTTTCTACTGTAAAAACGTAA